GGGTACAACTTGTATCATTCATTAAGGCCGCACAGGTGCTCCATAAATCATTTATGCCCCTGTATTTGCCAAGTAATTCTCCAGGCTTGGCTACATCTCCTGACTTGTCGAGACAGCTGTGATTAAGCCAGGTAAGCATCTGGCATTGTGCGTGGCTGAAAGATCAGAACGAGCTTTGCATACACTTAACTCAGTGTGTGCTGCAAACTGGAGGTAAACGAGAGGCAGGAGAGAGCGGGAAGAAATAGCAACATTTAGAAATAGTAGGCCAGCTCACTACCCCGCTGTTCGCCTGCCCTTGACTCGTCTCCCTCTGCTTCTTGCGTGTCTCGTTATGTCACTTTCCCAGAAGCGTACATTGTTTGTACGTCAAGATGATGTTTCATCTCACAGCCTCTGGGCTTTATTAAGCAAATGTTCTTTTCTGTGGCTGCTGCGGGGAGGAAAGCCAACACGGGTTCAGAGAGCTAGGAGAGTCAGCACATAGAGCTGATGTCAAACTGTTAATGCACATAAACATATGAGTGTTTAAGGATTAAACTGTACCATAGAGAGCAATCAGAGCAATCCATAATTAAATGTTGTCCTAGTAATGTTATACTGTTACAAGCCTAAAAGTGCACTACTGTAGCAAACCATAAAGGAAAAAAAAACAAACACTATCTGACAGCAAATTTGTAACGGAATAGTTTGGCACTCACACTCACTGGGCACTTCATTAGGTACTGTTCAAATCCTTGTTAACTTTTTACATGTTTTTAATGTAAACAAGCATTGACACAAATGTCTAATTAGCCAATCATTTGGCTGCAACTCAGTGTTTTTAGGCATGTAGACACGGTTTAAGAGGACCTGCCAAGGTTCAAACGGAGTATTAGAATGGAGAAGAAAGGTGATTTATGTGAGTGACTTTGAACAGAGCGTGGTTATGGATGTTTCAAGTATTTAAAAAAAACTCCCGATCTTCTGGTATTTTTGCCACACTACCATGTTTATGGAGAATGGCAATGGGAAAAAAAGAGAAAACATCCAGTGAGCAGCAGTTCTCTGGGTGAAAATATCTCACTGATGCCAGAAGTCAGAGGAGAATGGCCAGACTGCTTCAAGCTGATGAGAAGGAAACAGTAAGTGAAATGACCACTCTTAAGAACCAAAGTATGCAGGTGAGCATCTCTGAAAGCACGACATGTCAAACATCAAAGCAGAAGGGCACACTGTGTGACGCTTTTTCAGATAAGAACAGGAAACCTATCTCCAATGCGTGTGCGCTCACCAAAACTGGATAATAAGATCAGTGTAAACAGCATGAAAGCATGGATCCATCCTGCCTTGTATCAGCAGTTGAGACTGCTGGTGGTAATGATGTTGTGGTGCAGGAGATATTTTCTTGGCGCACTTTGGGCCTCTTAGAAACTACCACCTTTCTTTAAGTTAGCTTTAATAGGTTATCAATGTGTTATTAAATGGAAACATGCCACTTTGCAGCTCTGGTTCCTGCTTATTACATAGAAACTACCAGGTATTCCCAGGTAATAATCACACTTCTTTAAGTGTGCTTTAATAGGTTATTCACCCTACCTTATATTGTAAGGTAGACTCAACAATAATATGACAGAGAAAACAATCATATGACCCCCTATGAGCAAATGGTTTGGCGACAGTGGGAAGGAAAAACGAACTTTTAACAGGAAGAAACCTCCGGCAGAACTAGGCTGAGGGAGGGGCGGCCATCAGCTGTGACCGGTTGGTGACCGGTCACTCTGCAGTAAGTGTGTGATGCTATTGTGTCAACATAGACCAAAATCTGTGAGCAATGTTTCCAGCACCTTGTTGAATCTGTGCCATGGAGACCAAGGCAGCTCTAAAGGCAAATAGGGGGTCCAGCCTACTTCTAGCAGGTGTATCGCACACAACCCACATTTCTAATGTCTGTAATTTTAGCAGTAAATTTAATAAAACAACACAAATCAGTCTGTCAGTCTGCCCCAGGGCAGCTGTGGCTACAACTGTAGCTTGCCTCCACCAGTGTGTGAATGTGAGAGTGAATGAATAGTGGAATTGTAGAGCGCTTTGAGGTTCTCGAAAAGCGCTATATAAATGCAATCCATTATTATTATTATTATTACAAATGACGCCTGCCAACACCCCCCCTTAGTCACATAAAGTGCACATTTATTTCTCTGCATTATGTAATGACTCCTAACAATGTAAGGCAGTGCACCACGGCAGTCTTGCGATATTTATTATGGCCCATAATGTTTGACTTTTTTTCATTGCATTGTTGGAAATGTGTAAATCCTGGTAAAATCATAGTTATGTAACATTATGCTGAGAGCTGTCTGTGAGGTGCTCTGTAGATCGAACCACCTCTCAGCAGTCCAGTAATACTGACCTCAATGCTAAAACATATAAATGAACGAACACCTCTGTGACGGTGTCAACGAAATGTATTTATAGATATCATTAAAGCATTTATGGCAGACCAGGTGTACCTAATAAAGTGGATACTGAGTATATTGAGAAAGGCCTGGCATTCATATTATACACTGTTCAGCAGGAATATATAGCGGCAATAAATCATAGCCATATACCATTTTACTGCAGCCTAGTTAGACTGAGACCAAGCCTTTGTTAGTTTTCATAACCGAGGTGAGTAATGACTGCCAGAAGGTGGAGGCCAACACAAGGTGTGCTGACATTCCTGAGGGCAGAGGGTTCAGAGTTCAGGTTGGAAAGTGAGCTTTAAAACCACTAATCTGAGCTCCTGGCAGAGACATCACTGAGTCACCCACTTTGATAAAGAATCCTCCTCACCTCCTGCAGGCACTGTGTCTTCTGGTCATTTTAACACAGTTATTTGGTTACATAAAGGGTGGGGGGGTGGGGGTGGGGGTTGTGGAATATATGCTTGAGTTTTCTGTTTCCCCACATTGCTGTGGATACAGTCGGTGATTATCAGCAGCAAGGCTCTTCATTATCTGGCGCTGTGACAGAACTGCTGCTGCTGTTTCTCCATGCTATATCCTCCCGTTTGCTGTCTGGAGTATATCTTTATACTGTCTCTGTAAGGATGCTAAACCAAATTGCCATGCAATCAGCGTCTTGGAAACAAGATCTCGCTTGTTTAGGATGCTCAGAGTTGTGTTGTATGACACCGCTGCTTCTCTGGGAATCTGTTTTGTTTTGTTTTTGTTGGTTCGCAAAGTACTCCAAGTGCTCCGTGGCGTCTCTTCTCGTCCACCTGGGGATTTCTCTGCCACTTTCCAAAACAAAACCGACCATTTCTTTGCTCATTTCATTTTGTGTCTCTTAATAAGCATGTGCTGACATCCTCGAAGGCATCCCACTGATTAACAAATGGGAGCAGCGAGGCCTGAAAGACACGAGAGGCGGAAGACAGCATCAGTTAGTGTTACTTTGAAACCACACAGTCTTTTTTCCATCAGTTAAATAGGATTATATTTCTGTTAATCTTCCTATTGATTTTGGTCCAGACTTTCATGTCATTTGGTATACCTTATATCTGTTTGTTAACACGAT